CCCCAGGACCGCCCCCGGGATCGGGTATAGCCAGGACCCCAGGCAAGGGGACCCGGTTAGTGGTAGGGCCCTGGGGCCCCTCAATTGGCCAGATTCACTAAACCAGGTTTGCCATATAGCTGGTGTTTTTTCGGGTGACGGCAGTTCGGGTGAGTGGAAATGGGACGGGGGGGCGCCCCCGGTACAGATCATTGAACCAGGTCCCACTGAAGCCAGTTCTGCCAACGCCCGACCGGGGCCCCCAGGACCGCCCCCGGGAATCACCCCCCTCCCGGCAGGACGGGATTCAAAGTCGAAGGAGAAGCAGAAGAAAAATCGGGGGTGGACAGACCTCCTACCCTGACACGTCGATTAAGGAATGGTTCGTTTTCGATTCGCGAGGGGGCGTCGCGGCCGTCGTTTTTGCGGGTCCAGGTCCGTCGGTTTCGGTCCCAGGCCGTTTTCACTAAGGGGAGGTTTACTAAAGGTGTGTTTGTCCACCGACAGGACCGCCCCCCGGGAGCCGCCCCCCCCAGCAGGACGGGGTTCAAAGTCGAAGAAGAAGAAGAAGAGGAATAAGAAACACCATAAGCATGAACTTTTGGGCGCTCCGTGCTGATCTCTTGGGTTCCCGCTGGGCTCTCCCCCGGCGGCGCTTCCGGCGCTGCCCTTGGCGCGCTCCGCGCGCCTGGGAGGGGTGTCCAGCGCATATCCAACAAGTCCGCGCGGAGCGCCAAAAGTTGATGTTTATGCAGTTGGTTCTTCTTCTAAAGAGGGTGGGCATGACGACATTGTTTGATTTCCGCTTGGCTGGATCACTTGAGGAGGGCCCAGGGAAAGGTGGCGAACGGGACGACGACAAACATTCAGATGTCCGCACGGATTTCCTGGATCGTGGCAGGGCCCGCCTGGCGGCGCCTCCGACGTCGTCCCTCGTGCGCTCCGCGCGCCAGGGCAGGGGGTTTCGACTTCGCTAGGCACCTTCCTCTACACATGGCCGTTTCCGCAGCGGCGGAAGTTGCTGGGAAAATTAGCGTCGTGAAGTTGATTCGCTGGCCCCCCCTTGAATTTCTACAAGTAACTCCGTTTCGGCAACGGGCCTTCTGTGTGGGCCTTGCCTCTGACTCGAAAGATCGGGTGTGGCTAGGAGTGCCCGTGGCCCAAAGTGCCCCCCCGGATTTCCAAGGAGGCCTCCACGGCCTCCAGAGCACTCGGGCCGGGCGAAAGGGGGGGATTGGGAAAGGGGGGGGGTACGAAATTTGCTGCATGCAGCTGGTTTCGGCCTCACCGAGGGGCCCATTCCTCGATACATAGCCGCCTCCGGCGCCGGGAGGCGCTGGGAAAATCAGCTACGTGAGCTGATTCTCAAACCCCCCCTTTGCTATCCCCCCCTTTCGCCCGACCCGAAGCACCCCTCACAAGGTTCAGAGGGGCTCCAAAATTCACCGAAGAGTTGGGGGCACCGTGGGCCAGGGACACCTTCAGCGACCCCCAGCAGGCGCAGCAGCAGCAGCAGGCGCGAGGACGAGCCCCCCTGCCGGCCAGGCCGCCGACATGGCCCGCCAGGCGGCGTTGGCGCGCCAGGCGCGGCACGCACCAAGTTGCACTAGACACGCCGGGGGGCTCCCCAGGTGCGAGGGAGAGGAGGAGGAGGAGGAGGAAGAAGAGGAGCAGGAGGAGGAGGAGGAGGAGGAGGAGGAGGAGGCGGAGGCGGAGGCGGAGGATGAGGAGGAGGAGGAGGAGGAGGGAGGAGGAGGAGGAGGAGGAGGAGGATTGTTAGGAGGAGAAGAGGGCAGGAAGAAGGGAGAGGGGAGGGGAGGAGGAGGGAGGAGGAGGAGGAGGAGGAGGAGGAGGAGGAGGAGGAGGCGGAGGGCGAAGTGCGGGGGGAGGAGGAGGGGACGGTGAAGAAGGAGGAGAATGGGGAGAGGGTTGGCAGCAGGAGGAGGAGCTTGCGGTGGCAGTGGATGACGTGCGGGTGGCTTTGCCAAGTTACAGGAGATCACGAGGCCTTGCAAGCCCATATCTCGCGGGAGGTGGGGGAAAGGGTGTTCAAGGTATATGTCGAGTACGAGATCGACTACAGAAGTCGTTCACCCCACAATTGCTGATTTTTCGCCAGACCCACAGACAGTACATCGAAATCTCGTAGATCTATACGAACGTTCTACGTACCGCTCGTAGATGTGACAGGAAGGTCAGTTTTGGGAAACATATTATGTAGTCGATCCCCGACTCGAAAAGCCAGGATGAGCATCTTTCGAAGGTAGCCTTAACATCCTTCCCCTGTTTCTCATCCTTGGCCACTTTCGCTGGCCGCGCCCCTCTTGAAGGGTGTCGACATGGCGTTCAAAAGCAGTTGCATCCTTGACGTGGATCCTTACTGTGCGCGTGGACCAGCGCCAGATCTCAGTGCCTGGCCAGACGGGCAGAGAGAGCCATCAGAACTCACAGGGGCTGGTGCCCATCTCTCTGCAAGTGTGCATTGAACAGCATACGGTTCGTTGCATGTGCAGCTGTCAGTGTCGGCGCCTTGATCTCAGCCCATCTCAGTTGTCCCCGTCCTCCCCGTCCCCATCTCTCGGCATCGCTCGGGCGTGTGCATTTGTTTCTCGGCGAGGGCCCTCGAGGAGCTGGACAGAGCCACAGAAAAGGCACGCGCGAAATCGAAAAATGCACGGGGAATGGACGTCCGAGCGATGGCGAGGAGGAGGAGGAGGAGGAGGAGGAGGAGGAGGAGGAGATCTGCGCGCTTGCACGGGGCGGCGCTCGATTTGGGGCCCCAGCGGGGGGCCCCCGACAGACCACCTGCATCTGCGAGCGAGAGGCCCAGCTGCCCCAGCAGCGCGCAGAGCTCATCGCTTCCTCGACGGGATCGACGCTCGGAGCCCCACGGGCTCCCGGGCCCCATCCGCCTCCCCATCCCCATCTCTCCGCCATCCTCCCCATCCCGGGAGCGGAAAAGCGGGGGGTGATGACTAGGGGGGGTGGATATCATGGCGGGGGTCATGGTATTTCCCCAGATTTCATGCCGCCTCTTCTTATTTCATTACGTCCCTGGCCCCCCGCTGGGCCGCGCGCATGCCGCCGGTCATGATTTGCGCCCCCCCCCTCTTGGACACCCCTCTCTTGGCCGCTCCCGACCATCCCCCGCTCCCCCTTCACAGACAGGATCGCGTCGTGAAAAAATCCGGACGGCAAGTTTTTCACTATTTTCAACCCTTGGGGGCCCTCGCCGGGCCTTGGGACCGTCAAAAAACGACTCAGGATGAATAACCGATCCTAGGGAAAAGGGTCGGGACTTCCAGAGACGTCGTCCTGGAAAAAAACAGGACGTCGCATGTCTGGGTTCCCATCCTCTGTCCCCCCTCCTTGGTTCTGCACGGGGCCCCGGTTTGGGTATAGAATGCATTCTTGAGGCGGCTTTTTCGGGGCAGGGGGGCACTGGCCTTCGGCGCAGCTCTCCAGGCCCTCCCGCCCCTGAGCCTGCACCCAACACGTGCGTTTTCCTCCCAGCCTCGTTTCAGTTCGAAGCTGACCTTGACAAGAGGTCCTTTAAGAGCTCTGATCCTGACCCTGCCCGCCCTCCTCGCCTACCCCCGCAACGCCCCAACAAGACTGAGAAAGCCGCGCGAGCGAGGCGCCGGCAGCGCCGGCGGTCCCTGCGGCGCTGACGGCGCCGGCCCCGGCGATGTGCGAGAAGACCCCGTCGTTCACAGGCGCGCCTGCGCCCAGGGTAGGGGAGAAAGCTAGCTTCGGGGGGCCCTTCACGGCATGGGCAACGAGGAGGAGGAGGGGAGGGACGACGACCACCCCAGTACCACCACCGCGGACACACTTAGGTCGGGCTTGTCCTACAGGCGCTTTTTGAAAGGCATATAAAAAATAGCCAAAAATAAATAGATTCAGATATAGTCCAAAAATCATAGAAAAATCGTCCCCAGACTATTCTGTTGACTATGCTTGATATATTCCCCCAGAGGGACATGCCCGATTTACGGCCAAAGTGATTATGCTCGGGCACCGTGTGGCCCACTGGCGTTGGCCGCAGCGGCCCGGGAAGAGGAGGGGGGAGGCAGACGAGGATGGCGACCACCACCACCACTCGAGAAAGAAGAACAAGTCGGGCGTGTCCTCCTACAGGCGGATTTTGGACGAAAATTTTGAAATACTCCATACAATGCTCCAAAAGAATCTAACATAGAAAAAAAGATCGTCCCCATACGATGTTTAGACTATTTTTGGATATGCCCGACTTCAGTCTAGGTTTCCTAGATGGGGTCGGAGTAATTAGACGTGGTCGAAGGATCGCGCCGCATCGCCGATGCATCGGCGATGCATCGGCGATGCGGCTCAACTTCCTCCGCGCCGACGATGCATCGGCGATGCCGCATCGCCGATGCATCGGCGATGTAGGGCCCAACTTTCTCCGCGCCGACGTCGCGGGTGTACCGCCGACGTCGCCAGTGCACGGCCGATGCATCAACGATGCATTGGCGATGCGTCGGTGATGCATCGGCGATGCGGCGCGATCCACCGACCCCATCTACTCGGACCCCATCTAGGCGAGGCCTCTAGCAAGCAACGATTGAGGCGCATGGATTCGCGACGGATCCCGCTTCCACGCAGAATTGGCGCGCTCTGTTGCCAGATCGAGCGACACTGGCCACGTGTTTCGGATGTACCTCCCCCGATCCATGGATCTGGCGCCAGCGCGCTCGAATGCTCGGGTGTTGCCAGAACTGCCCCTGGCCCAAGATGCCCCCAGGATTCTCAGGGTGGCCCAGACGGCCTCCAGAGCATCCCTCGCGAGGCCCAGAGGGCCCGAGGGGCTCCAAAACGGAGCGAAAAGCTGGGGCCACCTTGGGCCAGGGGCACCTTTAGCGACCCCCGACATGCTGGCGCGTGTCCGCACCGCCGCCACGCCGGGGGCGACGCCGACCCGCGGCGGCCGCGGCCACCCGCAGAGGGGCCGGGGCAGAGGATCGGCTCTGCGGTGCGCGCGTATCGCAGGGGTGGGCGGCAGCCGCCTCGGCTCGAGCTCTCCCGCTGCCAGGTGCCCGGCCCAAGGATTGGGCGGAAGCAGCGGAACAGTCTCGGGCCGGACGAGAAGGAGGGGCTCGGAAAGAGGGGGTTACGAAATCTGCTGCAATGCATGCAGCTGGTGTCGGCCCCACCGAGGGGCCCATGCCTCGATATACATAGTCGCCTCCTGCGCCGGGAGGCGGCGGGAAAATCCGCGGCGGGAGCTGATGCTCAAATCCCCCCGTTGCTATCCCCCCTTTTCGCCCGACCCGACAGTCTGCATAAACATACATTTTCGGAGAGCCGCGCGGGAGTCTTGGATGGGCGTGGGGCCACGCCCCGGCGGCGACTCCAGCGCCGCCCCTGGCGTGTTGTCACCGCGCGCTGGGGAGTGGGGTCCGGCGCCGGTCCAAAAAATCCGTAAGGACGTCCGAAAGTAGTTGTTCCTGGCGATTCACTTTTCGGGATCACTTGTTCTGTTTTCACTCGGATGCGACTCCTCGGAGGTTTCAATTCAGCATCGGCGCTGGCACATCCATGGACGCAAGCGAGCCTGATCTGGACTGATCCCTCGCCTAATCCCCCTTAATCTGGCTTACTCGCTTCATCGGGCTGAACTCCCAATCTTAATCCAGCCTATCGTGGCCCCTTCAGTCGGGCTTGATAGCCTTGGCCTCCCAGGAGTTGCCTCTGAATGTATTGTTTGGTTCGCGCCGTGTCGACTGGCGGCGACCCCACCGCTGGCCTTCAACGCTGAAGGCCCCTGGCGACCTAGAATCGGTCTATGTTGAAAGAGCTGACGTTGCGGAAACGGCCGGTCGCTGTACCCAGACCCCCGACGTCATGATTTTTTCAGAACGTCGACCCCCAGAGGTCTCGACCTATTCCCCGGGACCGGCTTCTCATCCTGAGTCGTTGTTAGACGGTCCCGAGGCCCGGCGAGGGCCCCCAGATGCCGAAAATGGGAAAAAGCCTCCCGTCATCATTTTTTTAATGCTCGAGGGGGTCTGGGCAGGTTAAACGATCCCCGCGGTGTCGGGCACCAACGCCCGGGGCCGACACGACACGAGCCAGTCGCGGGGGGGGTGGGGGCCCGGATGGCGCAGCAGCAGTGCAGCCCGCGGGGCGCCAAGCGGGCACGCCTGCTCGGGGACGGTCGACGGTCCGAGGCGGAGGCGCTGGGCGCCGAGGCCGCCGGCGCCGCGGAGGACTAGAGCGCCAGTGGAGCGGCGCAACAAAGAGGGTTGTTTGCGTCGACATCCTCCTCATCCTCCTCCTCCCTCCTCCTCCTCCTCCTCCTCCTCCTCCTCTTCCTCCTCCGTTTCCTCCTCCCCCTCCTCCTCCTCCCCCTCCTTTTCCTCCTCCTCCTTCTCCTCCTCCTCCTCCTCCTCCTCCTCATCCTCCTCCTTGTCAGCTGTGCAGAGATGGCCGTGGCACTTTGCACCATCGTCGTTTCAGTTGCATTGCGTTCGAACAGTGGCGCCGTGAGAACCTGGATCCTTTGGTTGCCAGGGCTGCTCGGAATGTTGGCCATCTCCCGACTCCAACTGGAGAACTCTTCAGTAGATGTTTGTTTCCCAACCCTGCGGCCTGGGTGAAGCGACCCCCTCGCGACCCGCTGAATCCGTGCACGCGTCACTTCCAGTGGCCTCAGGACGGCCCCCTGTTCATACCCGAGGGGGCGCACGTTTTCACTGACAGGTCAGGATTTGAGGGGAAGCTCACAGGCCTTGGGACCGCGGGGTGGGCAGTTGTGGTGCTTGAAGGCCGAAGAGGAACCTTGGCCGCCCTGTCCGGTGTAGTGCAATTTGGGGAAGCGCCTGAACAACAAGCACGTGACGTTGAAGATTTTGCTGTGCTAGTGTTTTCTCGCAGATCGGTCCTCTCCCCCAATGTTTCGCTCTATGTGGACTGCGCTGCCACTGTCGGGAGCCTCCGAAACCTCACGGGGGCCTCGAGCAAGAATTCTGCGCGGGTCCACTGGTGGGCTGATATTGGGGACCGTTTGGAAGGAATGTGTATTCATAAGACCCCCTCCCACACCTCGATAGTGGATGTGCGTGAGGGTCGGATCACAGAGACGCAGCGGTTTGGGAACTCGGAAGCGGACAGGCTCGCCAAGGAAGGGGCTGAACCATTCCGAATTTCGGCGGCTGACAGACAGCTGCTCACTGGCTATGCGGAGTTATGCGGAGGTTGTGCGGGTGTTTACTGCGCTAGCCAGCAGGCTGAGTGCAGAGAGCTGTGCTCTAGCGATCATGTGAATCTGGAATGGCTAAGCTACGTCCTGTTCGACGCTATCCCTGGGTTGCCCCTTCCTGGGGCGTCAGGGACCCCCTCGGAGGCGCCTGGTGGTTCAGGGGGTTCTGGACGGGGAGACGGGCCTCAGGAGGCCCATGGGAACGCCGCCAGCGAGCAGCCTCCTGAGTCCCCCCCTCCCCCGTCCCCTGGAGCGTGGATCCAGAACGGGCACACTCTTGAGCAGGGTGATGTTTATGAGGCGGATATGAACACTTTTCATGTTTCACTTCTGTGCTGCACCTCATGCGGGGCTGTCTCCCACACCAGCACGAAGAGAGGTAACGTTCGGTCGGTTTGTCGACCTTCGTCGTCTTCGGGTCGCTCGTTTTTTTATATGGACAAAGTTCGTGCTGGTGTGTATCCTGGCCATCGGAATCCAAAGGGTTTCACGCTGGCGTACATTGGGGCCCCGACCGAGGAGGTTCGGCTGGAATGGGCACCTTTTTTGCGGCCTGGAGCAGAGGCCTCCAGGGCCCCCCGAAACAGTCTCGGGGCTCCCAGCCATCGCGTCGCGAGGGGCCAGCAGCCGACCTTCAGAGAGGTTTGGAGCTGGTCGGCTTCACGCGCGCCGAGCTCGAGATGCCCGGCGTTGAGCTCGACGACAGGCGGCGACGGGGCGAGGGTGTAGAGGAGGAGGACCCCGCTTTCCCCGTCTAGCCCGCCTGTCCCTCTTTGCATGTTCCTGTGAATTGGGCCACACCCCTCGTGGCCGTGCGCGTCCTCCTCCTCCTTCTCCTCCTCCTCCGCCTCCCCCTCTGCCTCCGCTTTCTCCTGGAGCCCCGGGACCTCAGAAAGTACCAAGACAGGCCAAGAGTGCCCCAAGAGGTCTTCGACACGGTCCAAGAGGGCCCCTTATTGCCAAACGATCGGTCAAAATTGCCATCACGCTTTCCAGACTGCCCAGGAGGCCTCCAGGACGCCCCAAGAGGCCACAGTCATTGATTGTCCATTGGTTTTTGAAGATTTGGGCTCTCGCGCCTTTCCCATTTCCCGCCGCTCCAAGACGGCGCAAGAGGCCCCCAAGATCGCCCCAAGACGGCCGAAGAGGCCTTCAAGAGGGCCCCGCAACAACCCAAGAGGACCCCAAGACAACCCAAATTGCTTCCCAGACGGCCCAAGAGGCCCCCAAGACTGTTCCAAGAGCGTGCCCAGATGGGGGGGCCGAACGGACATGTCGAGCCCTCGGCCCCAAGAGGTCCCAGGAGGCCCCAGGAGGTTCCCAAGAGGCCCCGAAAGGCCCACAAAAGGTCCCCAGTCCCCAGGAAGCCCAAAGAGTCCCCCAAGAGGATCCCAAGAGGATCCAAAGAGGCCCCCAAGAGGCTCCCAAGAGGCCCCCAATTTCCTCACCAGAGGCCCCCGCGAGACTTCCGTAGAGACCCCACGAAGCATTCCTGACGACTCTGGCCCACGTCAGCGTCGTTGTCGTTGCCGCTGCCGCCGTTGTCGTCGTCGTCGTCGTCGTGGCACCGGCCGTACTGCCTTCGCAGTACATGTTTCTCTTGAGGTTGCGTCGCTTTGTAAACCACGCCGCAAAGCGAGGGTAGCGGATGGATGCTACGTACGAGTTACTACTCGCATTGTGTCTGAAAGCGGTGATTCACGCAAAGCCACGGGATGTGATCCGAAACAGTAGTGAAAGGGCCAGGGTGCGAGTTGACATGTATAGTGCGTGTTTAAAGCTGGCTACACGCGAAGCACACGAGCTTTGAGCTCGGAAAGATTTCCACCACGGGGGCGCCTCTAGGTTTCGCGCACATGCACCGACGATAATCATTCCTGGCCAATTCCGACGGTCGTGCTGAAACTCGGTGGCGTTGGAACAACCAAAAAATCGCATGTGTGAACGGCGACCCCTTGACTTGAAAACAAGTGCTAGCGTAACTACGTTTAGGAATCGTTTTTACGAACTCAAGCGAAACTTATGTGTCGACCTGTTTAGACTCATGCTTATGGCTTTTGGGAGAAAAAAGCGTCTCTCTCCGAGACAGCGCGGTTGCAACCCAAGGGGCTTGGTTTTCGTTGGGTCTTGCCTCGCGTTCTCGGAGGGCATCGTTTGGAGAAATTATGTTCCCCACCCGACAGGTTGGGGTCGTTAGATTTTAAGAACAGGCCTCCCGACCCGTCCACCCTTCATACCGTGGCCGCCAGATCCCCAGAACCCCGCGAGTCTCCCCGAGTGTCCCGCCTCGCGCCATTCTACATACCGCGGCCGCCAGATCCCCAGTTCTCCCAAGTGTCCCCGAGAAGCCCGCCTCGCGCCACTCTACATACCGCGGCCGCCAGATCCTTGATTCTCCCGAGTGTGCCGCCTCGCGCCACTCTGCATACCGCGGCCGCCAGATCCCCAGGTCTCCCGAGTGTCCCCGAGTGTCTCGCCTCGCGCCGACTCGCCCACTCTGCATACCGCGGCCGCCAGATCCCCAGAACCCGCGAGTGTCCCTGAGTGCCCCGCCTCGCGCCGACTCGCCCACTCTGAATACCGCGGCCGCCAGATCCCCAGAACCCGCGAGTCTCCCTGAGTGTCCCGGTGTCCCGCCTTGCGCCACTTTACATACCGCGGCCGCCAGATTCCCAGTTCTCCCAAGTGTCTCCTAATGTCCCGCCTCGCGCCACTCTGCATACCGCGGCCGCCAGATCCCCAGGTCCCCCGAGTTTCCCCGAGTGTCCCGCCTCGCGCCGGCAAATCGTAAGATGACAGAGCGGCATTATGACACAGCATAACATAGTACAGCACAACATTTTAAGCGACGACAAAACAGGGCATAGCACCTCACCACCGAACAAACCATGTCCGAGCAGACCATACCATACATGACAGAGCATATCGTAACATGACACATGGCCGAGCAGCGCACACCACAGCACGATTTCACAGAACGTAGCAGTTCATTACATGACAAAGCAAGCATACCATAATACATCATTGCAGAACTGAACATACCAAAACAGACCACTCCGCAGCCTCACAACACATGGCATAGCAGACCCTAGCACAATACATCATACAAACGCATGCTATGACATATCGGAGCGCCCGCAACTTAATATGATAGAGCACAGCATACCATACCGTGACAGCTCATAGCAAAGCATGACATGTCATGGAACAACACGCCACACCATATTACAACATCACAGCACATATCACATGACAGGTCGCATCGCATCACGGATAACACACATCGTAAAATGACAGAGCGCCACAGAGCGTGCTACATCTTAACAGAACACGCATAGCACAATATCATGAGTGATGACAGAGTTGATCATGCAGAACAGATCAATGTACAACACAGTACAGCACTGCATACCAATACATAACATGTAATCACATACCACACAACATCACACCGTAGCACATCATCAAATCATCTAACATTGCAAAACAGTTTAAACGCGGCGTGCGCACCGTCGGGAACAAGCGCCGAAAGTGTCGGTGGGTATCGCTCGAAGCAAAATAATGACTGTACGTATTTTTGCTGTGGGTCCCAAGCGCAGGATGCAGCCCTCGAGCGCCCCCCGATCACGCCGCTGCAGAGGCTCTGCGAGCCGAGGGCCTCGGGCGGCGCTGGCGCCTCGAAGAAAGATCTGAATCTGCTGGTCCAGCACGGCTTGCACTGCGTCGAGGGCGCCGCGTTCACGCCCCTGCGCAAGCTCAGGCAGATTGAGGGCCTCAGCGAGGACAGGGCTCGCGCCATCTCGGAGGCGGCGTGCCGCATGGTGGGCGGCCACATGGTGAGCGCTCTCGCGATGATGCAGGTGCGCCAGAGCGTCGTGCGGCTCACCACCGGCGCCGGCCAGCTCGACGGGCTGCTGCGGGGCGGAGTGGAGACCGGGCAGATCACGGAGCTATTCGGGGAGTCTCGCAGCGGCAAGACCCAGATCTGCCACACACTGTGCGTCGCCTGCCAGCTGGGCGTGGAGAACGGCGGCGCGGCCAGCAAGGCGCTCTACATCGACACCGAGGGCACCTTCCGGCCCGAGCGGCTCCAGAGCATCGCCGCGCGCTTCGGGCTGGACCCCGAGGAGGCGCTGGAGAACGTCACGTACGCCCGGGCCTACTGCACGGATCACCAGAGCGATCTGTTGGCGGAGGCCGCGGCCTTGTTCTCGGAGTCGCGCTACGCGCTCCTGGTGGTGGACAGCGCCACGGGCATCTTCCGCACGGAGTACTCAGGGCGAGGCGAGCTCGCGGAGCGGCAGCAGGCGTTGAACGGTTTTTTCCGCAAGTTGCGGCTGTTGGCCGACCAGTACGGCTTGGCCGTCGTTGTCACCAACCAGGTCATGTCTTCCCCGGACGGGGGCCCAGCGTACATGGGGCCGCAGGTGTCGAGGAATAAAACACATCATACATATCAATTCTCACAGGTCCGCCGCCAGGGGTGCCCCAGTGCCGACTCAAAAAATCCGCGCGGACGTCCGAAAGTTTGTATTTACGCAGCCTTTGGTCCCTCTGCACAGGTGCAGCCTGTGGGCGGGCATGTCATTGCGCACGCGAGTCAGGTCCGACTGGCCATCCGCAAGGGCAAGGGACGCAACCGTATCTGCAAGGTTCGGCGGCGAGCGAGGGGGGTGAATGAGAAGGAGAAGGCCTGCTCAGAAGGCAGCGTGGCTTCTCAGAAGCCCTCCAGCCTTCTAAGAAGTTTTCTGCGTCTTCCGGACTGGCTCAGAACACTTCTCAGAAGGCCGGGAGACTTCCGAGCCTTCTGAGAAGGCCTGCCCTTTCTCACTTCCCCCCTGGGCTCGCCGCCTAAAGGTAGTCGACTCGCCCGACACCAGGGAGGCAGAGGCCGGCTTCATGATCAGCATTGGTGGCATCGTCGATGCGGAGCAGTAGTTCTGAGAGATGGGGATTCGATGTGTGGTTTAGCACAGGGTTCAATTGATTTCGCATGCATTTGTAAGCTGCGTGATGTGGCGGACATTGGTTTGGGCCTATATGGACCAGTGCCACTACTGGCCACTTGCCAGTCGTTCGCCGAGGAGTCTCGCCTCCGGGATCCTTTCTGGCGCTGTCCACAGTTCAAAATTGAATGCGGACAACATGTGCAGGTGATCTCAAGTGCGCGGCTCGACGAAGCGCGCCTTGACAGCAACGGTCTGCATGTGATATTGGTTGATCCAGTTGACGGTTCAGCATGCATTCTCGTTCTTCGCAGAGTCAAATCTCGTGGCCAGCGCTCGGAATTGGCTGAATTCTCGAGATGGATTGGGCAATCTCTCGTAAAAGGCAGTTTCATCATAAGGAAGCCAGTGGCGTCGTGAAATCGTCCACCATCACATGATATTGTGTTCGATGTCCTCGCTGCTTACCTGGCATCATTACGTCCTGGTTGGACTTACGGCATGTTAACATTAAGTAGTGTCAGCAAAATTGTTGTTGGCGTTTGACAGGGGCTTCCCCCTTATCAACGGTACGATCAAAGACGCCTACTGCGAGTCACCGCCACCCTTCTTGCCTTTTGGAGAACGCAAGCGCGGCCAAACATTGGCCCGAAATCTGGCGAAGCTATTAGGATACGAAATTTCCAAGCTGTTGTTCAGCCTCTTGGGGGTAAACTCTGAGGAGAGTAAGAGACATGATAGGATGAGGAGAGGGAGGGACAGGAGGAGGAGGAGGAGGAAGACGAGAAGGCCTCTTGTGGTCTCCTGGGGGCTTCCTGGGAGCTTCTTGGGGTTCTCTGAGAGACCTCTTGGGGGCATGTCCGGGGTCCTCCTGAGGCATCTTGGGGGGCCTCTCAGCTCATGGGTCTCTGAGGGGCCTCTTGGCCTTCGGAGGCCGTATTGGGGCAGTAGTGGGTCCTTCTCTGGGCGTTTGAGGGCCATCTTGGAGGTGTATGGGGCCGCCTTCCACCTCAGGGCCCTCTTGGGCCGTCTTGGGCCGTCTTGCGGACCTCTTGGGGGTCTCTTGGGCCGTCTTGGGGCGATCTTGGGGGCCTACGGGACCGTCCTGGAGCATCGGAATCCCGAAAAGGCGAAGATGTTGAAATCATCGGACAACCGAAGGCAAATCGATCATGTTGGCCTCCTGGCCTTCAGCTTGGAGCCCTCTTGGGGCCTCTTGGGCCTGGAGGGCATCGTGGTCTGTCTTAGGGCCGTCTTTGAGGCGTCTTGGGAACATGTTGGGATCTTTTGGGACATGTTTGGCCGTCTTGGAGGCACCTTGGAGGTCTCCTTGGAAAAGCCTTGGCCGTCTTGGAGGCGAGTTTTCCGGGATATCCCATCCTTGTGCGTCCTTGCCCGCTTTGGCGCGTCTCTGCTTGCCTTGGCGCGTCCTTCAGATGGCCAGCGGGTTGGGCCGAATGTCCATCCGAATTTTTCCCAACCATCCTGTGGTGTTGGGTCCTCGTTTTGAAAAGACAGCGCCCCGCGTTCACTCCTTCCGTCCTTCCTCCCGCTGCCCCCTCCCTCGTCACCGCACCCATTTCGGCACACCCCTCACACGCTTCGTTGCCCCATAGGGAGCTCAACCGGCACACCCCTCACACGTTTCGTGGCCCCATAGGGAGCTCCACCGAAGGCCCCAGTTGGGGTTGCGTTCGCATGGCGGCGCCACACCCATTTCGGCACACCCCTCACACGTTTCGTGGCCCCATTGGGAGCTCCACCGAAGGCCCCAGTGGCTGCGTTCGCATGGCGGCGCCGCACCCATTTGGGCACACCTCTCACACGTTTCGTGGCCCCATAGGGAGCTCCACCGAAGGCCCCAGTGGCTGCGTTGGCATGGCGGCGCCGCACCCATTTCGGCACACCCCTCACACGTTTCGTGGCCCCATAGGGAGCTCCACCGAAGGCCCCAGTGGCTGCGTTGGCATGGCGGCGCCGCACCCATTTCGGCACACCCCTCACACGTTTCGTGGCCCCATAGGGAGCTCCACCGAAGGCCCCAGTGGCTGCGTTCGCATGGCCACACCCACACGTTTCGTGGCCCCATACTCCACCGAAGGCCCCAGTGGCTGCGCATGGCGGCGCCGCACCCAATTTCACACACCCCTCACACGTTTCGTGGCCCCATAGGGAGCTCCACCGAAGGCCCCAGTGCTGCCGTCCGCATGGCGGCGCCGCACCCATTTCGGCACACCCCTCACACGTTTCGTGGCCCCATAGGGAGCTCCACCGAAGGCCCCAGTGGCTGCGTTGGCATGGCGGCGCCGCACCCATTTTCGGCACACCCCTCACACGTTTCGTGGCCCCATAGGGAGCTCCACCGAAGGCCCCAGTGGCCATGGCGGCGCCGCGCCCATTTCGGCACACCCCTCACACGTTCGTGGCCCCATAGGGAGCTCCACCGAAGGCCCCAGTGGCTGCGTCGCATGGCGGCGCCGCGCCCATTTCGGCACACCCCTCACACGTTTCGTGGCCCCATAGGGAGCTCCACCGAAGGCCCCAGTGGCTGCGTTGGCATGGCGGCGCCGCACCCATTTCGGCACACCCCTCACACGTTTCGTGGCCCCATAGGGAGCTCCACCGAAGGCCCCAGTGGCTGCGTTGGCATGGCGGCGCCGCACCCATTTCGGCACACCCCTCACACGTTTCGTGGCCCCATAGGGAGCTCCACCGAAGGCCCCAGTGGCTGCGTTGGCATGGCGGCGCCGCACCCATTTCGGCACACCCCTCACACGTTTCGTGGCCCCATAGGGAGCTCCACCGATGGCCCCAGTGCTACCGCGTACATGCGTCCCGCACGCCCAGGACAGCGTTTCGTAGCACGCCTTTCGTGGCCCCATAAGGAGCCCCACCGAAAGCGGCACCCACAAAGCGTTATTCACAATTGCATATGGTTGGGTCCTTCGCCAGGTTAATTTAATAAGCCAAATCTACCTAGCATGTGGCACGCCGGGCACCCCTGTAGCAAGCTAACAGGGGGCGGCGAATCGAAGACGCCTACGGCGAATCGCCGCCCCTTGCCTTTTGAAATCGCCCATGTGGCCGAGCGTTGTGGCAAGAGCTCTCCCAAGCTATCGGGCCATGTGTTCCCCAAACCGTTGTGGAAACCCTTTGGGGAACACTTGCGGGGGGATGGCGGGGAAGATCTCGAGGAGGAGGAGGAGGGGGCATTTTGGGAGCCTCTGGGGGCACTCTTGAGGCCTCCTGTGAGCTTCCTGGGGCCCTCTTGGAGGCATCTTGGGGGCCTCTTTGGGCCTCCTGGGGCCTTTGGGTTCTTCTCCGAGTACTCTTCGGCCGTCTCAGGGCATTCCTGGCCCGTCTGACGCCGTCGGAAACCGTCTTGGGGGCCTCTGGGCCGATTTGGAATCCTCTTGGGGTGCTCCAGGGCCGTCTTGGAGGCCATCTTGGGCTTCTTGGAGGCCTCTTGAGCCGTCTTAGGGCCCTCGTGGGGCAGTCTTGGGGGCCTCTTGGGCCTTTCTGGGGCCGTCCTGGAGGCCGCTCGGGCGATGTGTCGGGGCTCGCGGGCCGACTCGGGCCGTCGGAAGGCCGAAAAGAAGCAAATGCCAACATCCTTCAAACACCTATGGAAAATCCATGATGTTGGCCTCGTCGGGCCTTCCTGGGGACCCTCTTGGAGGCCTCTTTGGCCGTCTTGGAGGCCCCTTTGGGGCCTCGTTGGCCGTCTTGGGCCATCTTGGGCCGTCTTGGACCATCTTGGGCTGCCTTGGTTGGCTCCTGGCCCGTCTGACGCCGTCGGAAGCCGTCTTGGGGCCTCTCTGGGCAGATTTGAAACCCTCTTGGGGTGCTCCAGGGCCGTCTTTGAGGCCATCTTGGGCTTCTTGGAGGCCTCTTGAGCCGTCTTAGGGCCCTCGTGGGGCAGTCTTGGGGGCCTCTTGGGCCGGTCTGGGGCCGTCCTGGAGGCCGTTCGGGCGATCTTGCGGGGCTCTTGGGCCGACTCGGGCCGTCGGAAGGCAGAAAAGAAGCAAATGTCAAAATCCTTCGAAAGCATGAGGAACATCAATGAGTGTGGCCTCTTCGGGCCTTCCTGGAGGGCCTCTTGGAGGCCTCTTTGGCCGTCTTGGAGACATCTTTGGGGACTCTTGGGCCGTCTTGGGCCATCTTAGAGCCATCTTGGGCTGCCTTGGGGCCTCTCTGGGCCGACTGGGGGGCCCTCTTGGGATGCTCTAGGGCCGTCTTGGAGGCCATCTTGGGCATCTTGAAGGCCTCTTGGGCCGTCATTAGGCCCTCATGGTCTGGTCTTTGGGCCTCTTCGGCCGTTCTGGGGCAATCTTGGAGGCCTCTTTGGCGATCTTTAGGCGATCTTTTGGGGCTCTTGGGCCTTCTCGGGCCGTCGGAAGGCCTCAAAGAAGCAAGTGCCAAAATCTTTCAACAATCAGAGGACAATCAATGATGCTGGCCTCTTCGGGCCTCCTTAGAGGTCCTCTCGGAGGCCTCGTGGGCCGTCTTGGAGGCCTCTTGAGGGCCTCTTGGGCCCTCTTGGACCGTTGTGGAGGTTTCTTGGGCGGACTTGGAGGCATCTTGGACCCTCTTGGGCCGTCTAGGAGGCCATCTTGGACCATCTTGAGGCCGTCTTGGCCGTCTTGGAGGCATCTGAGAGACGATATTTGACCGCCGTGGCCATATTGGAGGTCATCTTGAGCTATCTCAAGCGAAAAAAGCCGACGAGAGGGGCACACCGGCGGGACGGGCCGAAGCCCCAGGGGAGAATTATTTCTGAAAAAGAGCCAACACCAATGGCGATAGGATTCAGCACGCCGGGCACCCCTGTGGCAAGCCAACAGGAGGCGGCGGATCTGGTGGCCGTCGGCCCATTCCGCCACCATGCCTGGGCCGTTGACAAGAGGCCCTTTCGAAGGTGGTCATCCTCCCTCCTCCTTTTCATGACCGTCCTCTGTTCAGTGCTTCCTGGTAATATAACCTCTCTCTCCCTCCGCTTCAAGATCCGAAAGGCTTGATCACACCTTCGTTGGCAGTGACGGCGCACGCCGCGCAAGGACGGACCATGGGCGCAGTGCTAGTGGACCTCAAGTGGGGGCGCGGCGTGGGTTGGATGTCGATTTACGCGACCATCACCTGCGAACGACAACGGGGGAACTTTTTCATGTTTGGGTTTTTTGACCAGCAGCTGCGCAACGAATGCGTGCTGGCTGGTGCGAGGAAGCTGTTAACAGGTTCCGCGAGGAGAGCAGGCCGCGAGACAGGAGCGTGCGGTGCGGGCGGAAGCGGTGGGCAGAGGCGTTCGGGAAGTATGAGTTCCAGGGGCAGGACAGACCGTCGCTTGCAAAGCAAATGCGCGGTGGATTTGGAAAAAAGGCGAGTGGGAGATGGTGCAAAGCGCAAAGCGTGGACCACCAGG